TGACTATCGGATAAGGCTATTAGGTTAATTTAGAGCATTTTTTAAAAACACAGAGAGTTCTACAGGGTGTCTCCAAAAAAAGTTACACATCAAAGTTGGGATTTTGGTAATGGAACACCCTATATATTAATTGATTTTCGGATTCTAGGAGAAAAATAAAGGTACGTTTCATTAGAGAAGTATATGACTAAAATGTAAGGTTTTTGACATATTTAACATTTTCTAAAAATGAAGAATAATTTTTAAATTTCAGTAAAAACTACCTAAATTCGAATTCACTTTGTATAACCCAATATGTAGTTCAAATAACGATTGTATTTTAAATCAAATTAAAACTTGTCCCAAAAAGTGATACAGGGTGAGACAAAATTAATATTGAACATTAGTCACCTTACATTTACAAGCAAATTACTCTTTTTTTTTTAAATGAAACACCCAGTATATTATTTCGATATTTAATGAGGAATTCATGTCTTCAAAATACTATTATGGTTCCCTACCCCTTAAACAAAGATTTTCTTAGATATTTTCATTTATATAATTTAGTGTCAGTAGATCTGTATTATTTGATCAAATCTAGAAATGTAATGTGTCTGACGTTACATCAACATAGCTGTCAAATTAGTTCAACTTTAATAACTAGTTTTCATTCTGTGATAAATTATTATTAATTTCCTATCTGAGATAAATTATTATACGCATCTTTCGATAGCGTAGATGTCTGCCTTAAAGATGCTGGGGTAGGTGCCCATTGATTCGGAGTATTTAGTTTTCGGCCCACATACTCCTATCCCTGCTTTGGTTTTGGAAGCATCAATATACCACGTCTTCCAATTCTTTTTATTGCTCAACACTACAGTGAGGTGTTTCTGAAGTTTTACATTCTTGGTACGTCATACACTGGGAGTTGGAGGAGTGGAATTTTCCTTTTTAGGATGTGTCAAGCCTCTGAGCTGACAATTCCCTCAATACTGTTTCCGTCAATGGCCGTTCTAATCATTGTCACATTGGGCTATCAATCGACGACAATGTGCAGTGGTGTTAGGTCTAGAATGACCTCCATTGCTGCTGTTGGGAATGTTCTCATGGCATCCGTGATGCAGATGCATGCCAGTCTCTGCTGTCTTTTGCACAGGTTTTGGTTTGCTGTACGTTGCTGTACCAAGCAACTGCTTCATTGAACCGTATCTTGCGCTTCAGTGAAATTCTATCATGCAAAAGACACTATTCTATAGATTTTGCAGTAACCCTCACGGGTTTCTAGAATGTTTATTATCTCCCTATGTCCTAAATTTACCCACAATTCATTTAAGGGATAAATTAGCCTACCGAAAGAGTTTTAGTGTGGGTAGTACTCCCACACTAACTGATTAAACATTTTTATCAGTCGGAGAAATTTCAAAGCCGCGTCGAAAAGATTAAAACGATTTTTTCTTTGACGTATATAACGTTTACGGTCAAAGTAATAAAAGATAAAAACTAACATGCCCAAAATCTCTTTAGAAACAACGTTTGTGACTGAGTTAAAGGTGAAATAATGGCGTTACGTGACCATTTTTTCTTATGAATCGGCACAGAGAAAACACATGTTAACAAGTACAGAGATAAAGTTTATTTTGTGTGAAGGCGGACTACCATTCGTATTGTTTTTCCTTGACGTTCGTACTCATTTGCAAAAATATCAAATTTGTGATGACCGAAACAGTAGAAAAATGATGTTAGATAACGCAGAATGTCCCCTTTTGTTTAATTTAATAAAGTACTTTGGGTAGATTTCATGTAAAACAAGAATCTCGTGTAGAATATTAATGTTCTTATACAGAAAAGTGTTAATATAAGCAAAGAAATTTTAGATGAGATTGAGGAGTGTCAAAGAGACGCTATATTATTCAATATAGCCATAAATTGCGTATTTTTACAGTGCCATAATAAAACCAAAGGATATTTAGTCTACCTGGAAGGTTTTAAGTCAGGCACACAAATTTCTGTTTGCCTAGATAATTGCTTCTATAAAATTTGGCAACAGTTACGACCGCTATATGGTTAGCTTTGTACTGGTTTATTTTGGACTTAGGTAACAGATAGAGGTTATCTGTAACGACTGATCTAAAATATATTGCTGTAAAACTATTTTATGCAAATATATTAAGTAAAGCCGTGATTTTTCTTAGTCATTGATAAAAATTTAAATAATCCACCTTTTTAAGCCGGTGGCTTTGTAATTTAGTGAGAATTTATTGTGAACCGCTGTTATTACATATATAAAATATGTTAATGCTTTAGTAATTTGGCTGTTCTTTTTGTGCTGTTACATAATGCCGACTCCTTAACTAAATAGAAATATTTATGAATGGTAATTGACGTTTTTCAGAATAGTTTTAAAACCAAGCTAATAAGAATTCACCCATACTTTTTAAACTAAGAAAGTTCTGCAGGTTTAGGTGATAAACTCTGTCTAATCTTCACAATCTGGTTGTTGCCTCTTGTTGCCCAATTTTTAAAAATTTTATTGGACGGTCGGGATTTTATGGGTGTAGTTTGGGTAATAAAAGATAAGTCGGCTTCTTTTTGATTTTTACAGACACTATTTATTTTGCTCAAAGCTAGAAAGAGTGGGAACAAAGAAAGTTTCCATATTATTGTCACGAAAGATGGAGATTTTGGTCAAGTCACAGATTTTTTTTGATCATATTAATGGATTAAAAAGAGTAGAATAGGGAATCTTTGACTATACCAGTACGCTGTTAGATGTAAGCGAACTTTTAACCATCATCAAAAAAAAACTGCCCAAAAAAATGGTTGATAAAATCGACTTTCTAATCAAATCATGGTCTTTAAACCTTGAATGCTTTATATATTCTAAAAGTACATAAAATTTACTATAACTCCTGAAATTTTCATAATTTTATCTCTATGATTACCATTTTTCTAAGCGTTTTGAAAATGAGTAAAAAATATCCAAAAATGGGCGTTTATTATGAAAATTGGTGAACTGGCGTCATGTCACCGGTTTTGTTAAAACTAATGTTATTTACTAAAAAAAGCATAGAATAAAAAATATAGACCATTGTAGTCTTACAATAACACTAATGGATGTAAGGGACGTTTTAACCATCATCAAAAATAGCTGAAAAACAAGGGCCCAAAAAATAATTTTCTCACAATGCCAAGGAAACTTTCATATTTTTATAACTACGTTTGCTATTATATTGTAAAAAACAGCCAAAATGGGCAATTTTTGGACTTTTTTTATACATATACCTATGAAAATTGGTCGGGTCACCGATTTTGATGAAACTCTTGTTATTTGCTAATTAAAAGGCGTAGAATAAGGAAATGTCGCCCTTTTTGGTCTTTGAGTATGGTACTGGATATACATAAACGAACATTTAACTTTAGACCACAACATCAATTCAGAATGTGTTATATTGTATAGAATTTAATGCAGATAGTATTTATAAGTTCGAAAACCGGCTGGCATGCGGTGTAACGAGCAGATTTCTGTCAGTATTTAAAATTGCCTTTTGTATTCTGAAAAGTTGGAACTTTTGCGAATAGGAAAAGCATTTAATACATATGCCAAAGTGGTTCCTCTCCCTATGCTAAGTCGGCTCTCGTAATTACAAGTTGGAACAAGCTCCGCTCAAAAGTTGAAAGAATTCAATTGTAAACTGGCAAAACTGCCCTAATTTCCTTTAAACTTTTCGCGTTCTGTTTGCTTTTCGACATTTTGTTTTCCGAATTCTCACCCAACGCGATTATTTGTCATCTCCGTGTCGATTTTACTTCTAAATTTCATTTCAGGACGATGTTTTGTTTTCATTTGTCTTTGTTTAAATCGCCAGAGATAAGTAATTGTTCACAAATATTTCTCGAAATATAAATCGTTGGTTTTAACTCTGCTGTGAATTAGCTCCATGCTGTTTTGTTAATTTAAAATCGTGGAAAGATCTAAATTGGTTATAGTTCCTATAAATAACTGAACACTATGGCGCTGATACTTTAATAAGTTAGTTCTGTATGTAAATATACCGAGTGTCCAGCTGAGTGAACTTGAATAAAAATAAAAATCTTAACAAAAAAAATTAAATACTGTTTGATTATTTAAATTCAAAATATTTGACCCACGCCACTGATCTAGTCTTTTTTTAGGCCCCCCAAAACAGTAAATTTGACCGTCAATGCATTTGCAGAGTCGGAGCGGATTTTGCACGTGCCACTGCTTCTGCGGATCTAAAGAAACAATTCCGACAAAGTCTGAGATGCATTCTGCATTATTTTCTTCTTAAGACGGCAAATAAGGAGGAGTAAACTCTATAAACTAGAGGCTAGAGTACAGAGAAATAACAAATTTCAACGAAATCGTAACAAAAACCAAGAGAGGGTGTCCATAAGAACATTGTAGAAAGGGTTGATCATTTTTACCACTACTGTTTCTACTAACTCAATAATTTGTTGAGTTTATTTTAAAGAAAAATGAAGTTTACTACTCATAGTTTATTTTTATTAGAACTAATAGGTCTGGAATCTTGTTTTTGGCAAGTTACTCATACATTTTGAGGGATATGTGAAAATCTGGTGTGAGGAGGAAGTATTGAGGAGTTACTTTAGTAAAATTTTCCTGACAAAGCTTACTGATACAAGTTGAGATACCTATATGGAATAACTGTGACTGACTGGCTTTAATGCTTGTGGAAAATTCTGTCATATAGAGGAGTGAGTATTGAGGAGTTATTTTGTAGGAAAAATAAAATATGAGAAGCATGCATATTTTTTAATAAAAAATGATTAATTCTTTTTATGAATGTGATAAATAGCAAATTATTATCGTTAAAATATGAAAATTTAAAGTATACTTCGAAAACTATTATGAAGGGGGGCCTAGAAAAATATAGCTTCTGGACAAGAAGGTCCCTAGATCCGCCACTGAGCGGCTGCGCAGCTCAGCAAGCGCTTCTCTAACGCCAAACACACCTGATGAATTAGTCGTGTTACAACGTCGGTGCTGGTGTAGCCTCGGCCTTATTCATCTCCGGATTCCTCCGACTTTAAAAGGGTTGGAGTATCATATAAGAGCGAGTTTCGTAAAAATGATAACATGGATTCAGCGTTCGCCTTCTCTGTTCGGCTTAATTACTAGTTGTAGAGTGTTATTTGTTTCTGATGGCTTGGATAAATGAATTCTGTGACCGGTTATTGGGTTTTGAAGAATAAATTTTTCGTTTCGAACTTTTTATTACGTTCTTTGGTAAGTTTTAAGTATACAATTCTAATTCAAATATCATAAATAAAATAATTTGATTTATTTAAAATTTGAATTTCCTCCAAGAAATATCTTTGGATATCTTCTCAATATATGTTTCCTGAGATTTTATAAATCTAAAATTTTTATAAGATACATAACATTCTCACTTTTCTTTAGATTTTCGTATATTTTTTTCTCGCGAAAACAGATTTTTTTGCTTATAAAGCTGAAATTCCCTACGTGGTATCTATTTATTTAAATAAACCAGCTTTAGGTCTTTTGCCTCTTTGTTTGCCATGGCTTCTTGGAATAAACTGGATTTTGTACCTGCTTTTTTATATTTTGTGGATAGATTTTTGAGTGGAGAACTTTTTATATTATGCTTCCAAGCATAATGTAAAAAGCGCAATGTTTTTGAATGAAAATAGAATACTTCTTATGTGTTGCTTTTTTTAAATATAAACCAACTTTACAAAAAAAACATAAGTCTTTGGTAATGATGTCTTTATTATTCTGAGATTTAATACTGAGTATAGAATATATTATGTTTTAGGGATAAATATTCTGATTTTATTTCTTATGGGGGAAAATACCTTTACAAACATAATGTCTTAATAGAAATAAGTCACGTATGAAATTATATAAACCCTAATATAACGGGATATGAATGTTTTTGGCAACTAATGAGGAACATTACATACTAAGAATGATGCTAAAAATTGCTTCTTTGAGGTTTTACCATTATATTTTCCTTTGTATTGTTTGATATTTTAATGCAGGAAGAAAAAAACTTCTGTAGATTGCGTGATATGAGAATCATGGCCACGCCGCTTAATTTGGTATATCCTGTTCAAATTTTGTTCTTCTATTTTTATGTATTTTTCTTATATTTTTTCTGATTTTTGTACAGTACGCTTGAAATATTTCATTTTGTCATGCGACTGTACACCAGAATTACTCATTTTTGAATCTTTTAATCAGTTAATATGGTTTAGGTAAGTATGAAAATTGTACTTATACTATGGTATATTCATAGAATAGATATAAAAGCTCGCTAGGATATATGTATATTTCTTTCATTTCAAAAATACGGGAAATAAGCAAATATTCGATCATATTAAATGTGTCAAACGAGTAATGTGTCAATATAGAAATTTTCAAAATACGACTAACCTTGTTATAGATAATATTTAGGTAAATACATAGGGAAATGATGTAAAATAAATAAAATATGTGTGCTGAAGGCAAAGGTATTTGTGTCTTTTTTTGTAGGTTCTCAGTAGAGCTTTGTAAGTTTCGCAGGATGAACATCAAATATGAAATATGTGTCTCCTTTATTTTATTGAAAATTGAAATTTAGTTGCAAGGCAGATGAACAATTTTCAAACAGTTTTAATACTAAGAGATTGTCAATTTTGTTTCTTTAATACTAATTTCAGAGTTTTTAATAGTTAATTAGTAGTTTTAAATCTAAGAGTCGTCGTTTCTTGTACAAGAGCAAAAATATGTTATAATATTATAAACTAATTATTTTTTAAAATTTCTTGACTTCTCTATATAGGAATAAAAAATAGATAATATTTTCAATAGAAACTGTGAGTTTTGTTTCTGAAATACCAGTATTAGAATTTTTATGACAGCTGAAACATTAGGTATGCCAAATCTCGCACTTATTTCTCTATACAGGGCTAGAACTACATAAAATTTTCTGTAGAAACTGTAGTTTTTGTTCCATTTGTTACATTTTATGATAGCTGAAACTGACGTATGAAAAATCTTGTCATCAGAGTTGGCAGGATGAACAATTTTCAAATAATTTTATTAATATATTTTATAAAACAATATATAAAAGATAAAAGTTTTGTTTATTTAAATTTATTGAAGGGTAAAAGTTGCAAATGGTAATTCTATTTTTTTTTCTTTCAGTGATGCAGATCGTGGGCACTGAAGAGTGGTGTGGCCTGGTGCCGGGCATGCCTGCTCTCGGGCCACCATCCAGCCACCACCAGCGGTTATGGTAGGGACAGGGCGTGTGGCAGCAGCATCAGCGGCCGCCTGGCTGTGGCTGGTGGCCCTGGTGGGCGCTGCGGGCCTGCGGGGACCCGGCCCTGGTCCCGGCTCCGGCCCGCTCCTGGCGCAGTACCCTCGCGCAGGCGAGCCACAGCTGCGTCTCTCCCACATGGCCATCGATTACAAGACGCGCAGGATATACGTGGCTGGCGTGAACGTGCTCCTTCAGCTCGACACTAACCTCAATCTGGAACACTTTGTGGTCACGGGACCTAAGAATGATAGTCCTTTATGCCACCCGAAGGGATGCAACGATCCTGAGATCCCTTTGTCGCTCATGGACAACTACAATAAGGTGTTGCTGGTGGAGCCAGAGTCTCGAGCGCTTATATCGTGCGGGTCGTTGTACCAAGGCGCCTGTCATCGGTACAGACTGGGGAACATCAGTGCGGACGCTAGGTTCATCCCTATCAGCATCGCTGCGAACGACGCCAACGCATCCACTTATGCTTTCATCGGACCGAAAAGTTACAACCCTTGGGGTCGGCCAAACGTTCTTTACGTCGGAACTACGTTCACCAACAACGGGGAATATCGCCACGACGTCCCTGCGATCTCCAGTAGGGACTTGGATTCGTTAGACTTTGCGGAATATTCGTTTAGTAAACAGTCGTTGCTCAGTATCGACGTGAAATATAGGGACCACTTCATCGTGCAGTATATTTACGGTTTCAATGCCAGTGACTACGCTTATTTCGTGATCGTGCAGAAGCAGTCGCATTTGCCAGGCCAAGAAGAGCAAGGCTACGTCTCCAGACTAGCAAGGACCTGCATCAACGATCCTAACTATGATAGCTATACGGAAGTAACGCTGCAATGCGTCGATGCAGATCGGAAGTATAATTTAGTTCAGGACGCCAAAATAACAGCTGCAGGAGCTGAACTAGCGGCCGCTATGGGAATTGAAGTAGCTTCACCTGTCTTGGTTGCTGTTTTTAGACCAGCAAGAGGTATCACGAACGAACCTCAGAACCATTCAGCTCTCTGCATCTACTCTCTTCGAGACATAGAAAACAAGTTCATCGAAAACATCCATATGTGTTTCAATGGGAGCGTGAAATATCGAAATATGGGTTATATATCTGGACCCGTCCTGGACGGTAAATGTCCTGCAAGTGGTTCGGCTGGGAATATTCCGAATTTTTGTGGTGATGTAGGTTTGAAAATTAGTGGCGTTACACCAATAACAACAACTGCGGCGTTGACTTTCACTAATGTGTCGTTATCGGCGATTGCTACTGCGTCCACTGGTCGACACGTATTGGCGTTTTTGGGTACTACCGATGGTTACATCAAGAAAGTTCTTTTGAATGGCCCATCTCCACCAGAATATGAACAAGTTTTGGTTGATCCGGGAAACCCTATTCTTCCGGATACTACTCTTTCACCTACTGGAGATTACCTCTATGTTCTATCAGGATCAAAGGTAAGTCATTTTTGTAATATAGTCATATAAGGTGCTGTAGCATAATTGCGGTGCTGTAGCATAATTAGATTCATTGCGGTAATATGGCGATTATATACCAGATCTCTCGCTTGTTTTATATGAGCACAGAAAAAAGGATAACAGTAAAAAAAGTTCATTCTGGTAAAATTCTATATACAGGACTGAAAACTACATAAAATTTCCTATAGAGACTGAAATTTGTATTTCTCAAATACCAATATTATAGCTTTTATGATAGTTGAAAACTTAAGTACATATATGCCAAATTTTACACTCGTTTTTAGTACTGGAGCAGAAAACTGACCATCATTAAAAAAGTGATCTTTTGGCTAACCTTCTCTATACTGGACTGAAAACTAAATAAAATTTCTTCTAGAATCTGTAAGTTTTGTTTTTCACATGCCAATATTAGAATTTTTATGACAGCTGAAAACTTAGGTATGCTAAATCTCGCTCTTGATTCTTGTACTGGAGCAATTAAATAGCCTATAATATAAAAACTAATTGTTTTGCTAAACTTCTCTAGACAGGGCTAGAAACTGTATAAAATTTCTTATAGAAACTGTCAGTTTTATCTTTTAAATACTAATATTAAAATTTTTATAACAGCTGAAATCTTTGGTATGACAAATCTCGAACTCGTTTCTTGTACTGGAACAAATAAATCACCAATAATACCAAAACTAATCGTTTTGCTAAACTTTTCATACAGTATTAAAAACTATATGAAATGTCCTATAGAAACTGTCAGTTTTGTTTTTGAAATACCTATATTAGAATTTTTATGACAGCTGAAAATTTAGATATCCAAAATCTCGCTCTCAATTCTTGTACTGGAGCAATTAAATTGCCTATAATATAAAAACTAACTGTTTTGTAAACTTCTCTATACAGGACTAAAAACTATATAAAATTTCCTACAGAAACTGTCAGTTTTGTTTTTGAAATACCTATATTAGAATTTTTATGACAGCTGAAAATTTAGATATCCAAAATCTCGCTCTCAATTCTTGTACTGGAGCAATTAAATTGCCTATAATATAAAAACTAACTGTTTTGTAAACTTCTCTATACAGGACTAAAAACTATATAAAATTTCCTACAGAAACTGTCAGTTTTGTTTTTGAAATACCTATATTAGAATTTTTATGACAGCTGAAAATTTAGATATCCAAAATCTCACTCTCAATTCTTGTACTGGAGCAATTAAATTGCCTATAATATAAAAACTAACTGTTTTGTAAACTTCTCTATACAGGACTAAAAACTATATAAAATTTCCTACAGAAACTGTCAGTTTTGTTTTTGAAATACCTATATTAGAATTTTTATGACAGCTGAAAATTTAGATATCCAAAATCTCGCTCTCAATTCTTGTACTGGAGCAATTAAATTGCCTATAATATAAAAACTAACTGTTTTGTAAACTTCTCTATACAGGACTAAAAACTATATAAAATTTCCTACAGAAACTGTCAGTTTTGTTTTTGAAATACCTATATTAGAATTTTTATGACAGCTGAAAATTTAGATATCCAAAATCTCGCTCTCAATTCTTGTACTGGAGCAATTAAATTGCCTATAATATAAAAACTAACTGTTTTGTAAACTTCTCTATACAGGACTAAAAACTATATAAAATTTCCTACAGAAACTGTCAGTTTTGTTTTTGAAATACCTATATTAGAATTTTTATGACAGCTGATAACTAGGTATGCCAAATCCCGCATTCGTTTTCAGAAAACTATTTATTTTGTTAAACTTCTAAATACAGGACTGAAAACTGCTCTGGAGGTCGACTCTGGCAATGTATTTTTCAAGCCGTTCTTTAATGGCATTAAGCGAATATTATACGAGGCTAAAAAAGCAACTTCTATTGTTGCCCCATTAAATGTTTAGAATAAGCGCTGCGCTCTTCATTTTATTCTCTCATTTGTAAATTGGTAAATAATTCTGCATCGGCCTGGTAACCAGAATACGGAATTAATCTGCTAAAGTGCCCCGAGTAATTAATTTAAAACATCAAGTAGTAAAGTTGGGGTAAAAAGCTCTTTTGTTTCGAAGATGTCAGTTTGATGTTCATTTTGTTAGTGGCAACATACGGGAAACCAGTTAAATCTCATCTATATTCGCCAATTTAAACGCCAGTGACAAGTTCGTCATATTCAACTCTTTTTAACCGGTTTTCGGTTGTAATCGACGGTTCGTTAGTTAATTCGGTGTCATTATGTCGAAATATCTTCTGTCACATAACAATTTCCATAATTTCCACCAATCTCTGTGTTGCGAATTTTCGTAATTACTTTTACTCCAACTCTTCTTTTTAATTAATAATTATTCTCTGTCATAAAAGCGTTTTTAAACAGACTCCTATATTTGGTAGGCTCAAAAACTGGTTTAATATTCGTCTAATTCAAAACTAATTTGCCAAACGAAAAAAAATCTGACTAATCGCGAACTCTTCCCAGGAGACTTTACATGGAATTTTTCTTCAAAGTTTAATTAATATACTTCGAGCATCAAACACATACAGAGTGTGTTTGTATATGCTCTGTATATGCTCCGAAACTTGTAAGTTATAAAATTGCATGCGGCTGATTGTAATTAAAAAACTTTTAGACAAGTTTTCGCGTCAAGTTTTTTACGTTTAATATTGTAGCTTTGTTTCAGAAGTTTAGTTTTCTAAATTTCCATTATGAAGATCTCGAAAGTTGTTAAGATTTTCGTTTGAGTTGCGAATTTATTTCGAAACCAACAATGTAATTTTAAAGGATGGCTTTTTTAATAATCACATAAGTTGAAATTGACAGGTTTTTTGAACTTAAAGAGTTAAATTAAATGCATAAATGATAATGTCACGAAGCAGCAGTAATGTTTTACTACATAGCCAGTCATTACGCATACCATCAGGAAATTTATGACATTTATTTATTCAGAATTGTTCTGTGGATGCGGTTATTTATTATATTCAAACAATGCAATATTATCTGAGTAATTGTTATGTCTGACGGTTTTTAACAATAACAAAGAACTAAACTGTTTTCATAATATTTAATATTAGAACTTTTATCAATATGAGGTCACATCTCATGGACTTATTAAGCAAAACACATATCAAATATTTGAAATTTACAACCTTACCCTTCCCATCAATATAGCATTTTCCCAGGATCATTATCTATATTTTTTATATATTTTATCTTTTGTTTGTTTCATATACACTGAAAAATAATCCTGACATACCTACTTCAAGGGGATTTTCGATATATTCTTCGATTTAACATGTTTTATTAGTATTTAAGTTCAACTTTTCATATTCATTTAGCTAATCTATTACATGGTTTATGTAGCCTAATAAAAACAGGACATTTTCTGCACAGTACGAAACGAGTACACACCTTACTTAATCTGTTTTTACTGGAGTATCGCATGTTGTTTTTGTCATAAATTTTTATTAAACTTACTTTAAGAAACTTATTTATCGATTGGGAAAAAATGACAAAACCCTTCCTTTTTTCTATGTCTATAAATTTACTTTCCCAGCCTTTATTTGCACTGTCGTAAATTACTGTGCACTTTTTTATTTCGGAAACATTAATTATTATGCGAGATGACATAAGGCGAAGCTTAGAAAATTTACTTTGAATATATAGTTTTAAAGTAATTAAGTAATAAGTTTTGGTTGAAAAGAAATTATTTTTCTATCTTCACATTTTTTTAATATTTATTTTCAGGTTTCAAAAATAAATGTAGAACATTGTAGCACTTACACAAATTGTTCTACATGTTTGGAGTCAAAGGATCCGTATTGTGGTTGGTGTTCCTTAGAGAAAAGGTAAGAAATTGTACTGCATAATCAAATTAAAATAATAAGAGTGACTATATTCTTACATGTCCAACGCCCTAAAGTTTTATTTTTAGATAAGTCCATTTCATTTAACTGTTTCATTAGTCTATGCTTCGTAAGGTTTTTTTTTCAAAGAGGACTTAATTTAACTACTCCACATTTTCAAATAAAGGAGTGACAAATGAATGGGAATAATTAGTGTTAGAAATATCTTTTGTATTAGATCCTTTGCCACGGAAAAAATCAACTTCCCCTCATTAACTACCATAAGTTTGGAGTGATTGATGTTGACGAGTGGGAACAAAACATAAATAAACTCTAAAAAACATCGAGGCAAGATATTTTTAGACGGCTGTCACAGAGCAAGCATATCGCGGGGTGTTCCTCTACGATAACACTCCTTTTAGATAGTGATCGGTTGTTTCAAAAACCGTTCACGCACTTGAAACCTGACGAAAATAAAATTTGAAATCCTTTAAATGAGTATTTATGTCTGAATAAATATTCTTCCAGGGATAAGATTTATTAGATAAGACATTCATGCTTCAGTGTTATACATCTAGTTAATAATAGTTATAAAAATACAATATTTTCAGGTGCACTGTTCGTAGTGCTTGTCAGAAAGCTTCGCACAGCGCTCCAAGATGGCTGTCTTTAGGCACAGGTCAGCAATGCATCGACTTCGAGCAGGTCCTTCCAGAGAGAATACCCATCAACCAGATGACCACAGTGCGCCTCACCATTAGAACTTTACCAGAACTGCCGTACGGTGCTAAGTACAAGTGTGTTTTTGGCTCTTCTGATCCCATCGATGCTCAAGTAACGGAGTTCGGACTGAGTTGTCCCACTCCAGATGTGTCCAGAAGGCCGAAGATTCCTCCCAAGATGGACCACATTCTTGTTCCTCTCAGTGTGAGGTCGTCGGAAACGAATAAGGACTTTGTGTCCAGGAACTTTGCGTACTACGATTGTGGGAGGCACGCCACGTGTGGGGAGTGCGTCAGGTCCAAATGGGCTTGTAATTGGTGTGTTTATGAGAATAAGTGTACTGATAACGCATCTGTTTGTCAAAGGAATATCATCAGTGGAGAAAATGTGAGTATATAACTATACATTATATAATTATTTAACTGGATTGTTATTAAAATAGCTCTTATATTGGAAAAAATACTAAAAACTATTAGTCCAGGAGGCAGTGAAGATTTTCGGTACTTATTTTCCCAGTCAGCAAAACACTGATAGAATTATTCGGTATGTTGTTCTAAGCAAATTTCAAATATATGTAGAGGGTTGGTTTTCCGATGGGTTGAGGCGGATAATGCGTTAGAAAGTACGAATATATTTAAATTTTAGTCAGACTCACAAATTGTCATTTAAATCATCCAAACAAACTGTTATATTATATTCACCGACTGGAAAAATAAATACAAAAAAAATCACTGCTGGACTGTATCAGGAAGTCCTTAAATATTAAGATTCTATCCTGAAAAAAAAGATAAGCATTATAAAAACTACTAAAAGATATTATTTATTATAGAGTATTATATAAGATTATTTTATGCCTCAACGTTTCGTACAAGAATTTTTTAATGATCCATTACATTATATTTTGGGGTATCAAGAAGTTATTAATTTAAATAAAAAAATAATTTACCAACGACAATACTTTTTTACGTATGGAAATGACATGCAAGAGTTTTGAATGCATTCGGTATTTTTTAACGATAATGGATCAGACTCTTGAGAAATATTCTTTTTATTTTTCATTTGACCAGAAACTTTTGTATATAAGCATCATTTGTGACTTTGTTGATGGTTCTGGGAATAAATTGTTAAGATAACGGGTTATATGTAATATTTCTGTGGAGTCTTTATAGTTCTGAAGTTAAGCATTTCGAATGCAATTTTCTTTTTTTTTAGAATCCGGTGGCTTTACCCAATCACGGTTACGCATACTGTCCCCAGTTCAAAAAACGGGATGTGATCTTACTGCCAAATAACGTTCTAAAAGATATCGTTTTCGAAGTGAAGAATCTTCCTCATCCTCAGGCGGGCCATATCGGCTTCCAATGTATAGTAGTCATAGAGGGTGCCACAATGTTAGTTCCTGCAAGAGTAGATAATGAAAAATATATCGTTTGTGATAAAACAACCGTAAGTTTATGTTAAGCATTTAATTATTTGTTAGTTCATCAGAAAAATAATCATATGTATTAAAATACTTAAATTTGTTTGGTGTTTTTGAGTCAAATATTTTTTTTATTGACTTTATCGATCGTACAAAACTCGCTCATATATAAATTTTAATTAAAAATCAATTTATTCCTATTTATGGATACTTTAGGACTCCAGTATTTTATATTGAGTCATTTAACCAACAGAAAATATATTTTAAGATATAATTTATTTTTAATCGCCCAGTATATAATTTTCAATTTTAAATTCACTTTCTTGCTGTATTAAAAATCAATTTTAGGATATGTTGGGGCTCCAGAAAGTATATTTTAAGATATATTTAATTTAAACGCCCAGTATATAGTTGGGCAGGCGATTTTAAATTCCGAGTTTTTGATTTTTCTGTTTGCCTCGAATTGAAAATAAGACCTTTAGAATTCTATTGTGCTTCCAAATATATGTTTTTTAATATAACTCTGTGGCCAATGTTTCGTGTTTTGTATCGAGGCCGCAATAATACCTCAAATTTTAAGTTTCGAGAACTAAAGCCCCGTACAACCTTTACAAAGAACTTCTCCGACTTTTTATGTGTATATCGCGAACGATATACTGCTCGTATTTTTGTAAAAATGCCTTGCACTTACGCCTTTTAAACATCATATATTTTCGCTTTTTATTTTAAATGCCACAAGAGATTGCATTGAGCCCATCGTCTTGAACAAATGTCTTTGGTGTGTTGTGAGCTTTAAATTATTGAGTAAACATTTTCAGTATTCCTATGAAGCTAATGAAGGTGAACACGAAGCTAGCGTTAGAGTAGTTTGGAACAGAAATCATCATATAGATTCAATAAACGTGATACTGTATAAATGTGATATCTTAGGATCGCACAGGGAGCATGCCGATTGTTCTTTGTGCGTCACAAGGAACTCCAAATACAACTGTACTTGGTGTGGCAACTCATGTCAATATTTCGAGACTTGTATGCATGTTCCTCATATAGAATGTCCCAGGCCCAGGATTGATATAGTAAGTCCCATTCAAGTAAAACTAAAACATGTATATCCAAACCATATATATTTCAGATCAAACCTTTGAGTGGTCCTATCGAAGGCGGCACTCTATTAACAATAGAAGGGAGTAATTTAGGTTTAAAACAAGAAGATGTGCAGGGGAAAATTAGAATAGGGGATGTCCCGTGTAAATTAGTAAATTACGAAGTGTCAGTTCGCATTCAGTGTGTCACAGGCCCTTCCAGGAGAGAGCATACAGCTCCGATAGTTGTTGGGAACGAAGCAGGATATACCGAATCATCCGTAGAGTTCAGTTATCAGGATATCAGGTTAACAGGAATTTATCCAGCTATGGGTCCTCAAAGTGGAGGGACTTTGCTAGCTATCAGTGGAAAATATCTAAACATCGGCTCAGAAATAACGGCTTATTTAGACGATAATATATGCGCAGTTAACTTGACTCAAGCCTCCAGTGGTAGACTGACTTGTATAACATCCAAAGCCCAGAGTGCAGCTAATATATACAAGCTCACGCTGAGTATAGATGGTGCGAATCGTACTTTAGAAGGAAACCCTTTCAATTACACTCAAGACCCTACAATTATGGAGATAAAACCTCTGAACAGTTTTGTATCTGGTGGCAAAATGATTTTTGTCCACGGTACAAATTTGGACAGCATACAAAAACCAGAAATGGAGGTTTATTCTTATCACGAACCTAACGTTCCTATTAATAGTACTGTTTGTACTGTTTTGAGCTCAACACAGATGGAGTGCCCTAGTCCAGCGGTTAATAGAATATTCGAAAGTTACAATAGCAAGTCTAAGAGGTCTTTAAGAAAACCTGAGGCCATAAAAGTAAGTTGGTAATTCTAAACCTTTGTTTTTCTATAATCATTAATTTTACAGATGAAGGAGCCAAAGTTATCACTGAAAATAGGCTTCGTCATGGACAATGTCCAGTCAGTCCGAAACTTGGAGAAACATTTTCCAAACTTGAGGTCGTCCATTTTATACGTAGAAGATCCGATTTTTATTGAATTTCCTAATCAGATTAAGTTATATAAAGGTGATACTTTGGTTATTGAGGGAGAGAACTTGAACGCTGCTAGTGACGAGGCAGACGTGGTGGTCACTATTGGTACTAAACCGTGCAATGTAACTAGTCTTGCTATGTCGCAGTTGGTATGTTCACCTCCAGAACTTCAACCAAGTGATACTGACGAAGATGGGATAAAGGTACTCTTATTCTTTATTTAACCTTATTTTTAAACGGTTTAATGTTTTTCTTTCTAGACTGATATGAACCTTCCATTGGTTGTTGTAAGGGTAGGAAAAAGCTTAAGGTTCCCCATAGGATATTTGAAGTATGACCTGTACAAAACCCTGGCATTTCCACCCGAAGCGATAATTCTGATAGCCGTCGGTGTTATTTTGTTCGCGTTTTTCTCTGTCGCCGTTGTGGTCGTCTATCGGAGGAAATCGACTCAAGCAGAACGGGAATATAAACGGATCCAGATCCAAATGGACACGCTGGAGAGCAACGTTAGGTCTGAATGCAAATTAGGTAAATATATCTATCGCTCCCGCCATACGACTGACTGACTAAATTCGATTCAAGTTTTTTTCAGAACAATGACAACAGAAAAAAAATTATTATCTTCATTTTATATAAACGTTTACAACGAAAATATTACAAAATATACCGTTTATTGTATATTGACGGTATATTTTTAGTTGTCGGTTTCTAAACCAACTTGAATCCGATTTTTTTCGACCATACCGTAGCAATATCAAACACAGATGCAAAAGCTTTCTTTTCAGCTTTCGCAGAGCTCCAAACCGACATGACGGACCTGACAGCTGATTTGGAAAATTCTGGAATTCCTACTCTGGATCACACCACATACATTATGAAGGTTTTCTTTCCAGGGGTTAGCGATCATCCAATCCTAAATGCGCTTAAGGTAAAAGACATAATTATATTTTTTTACGTGTTAACATGTAATTAAATAAATAATAAATACCAAGGAGGCGGCTACTTGTTAATATGAAAGTTGTATGAGTTTTTCGCTGGAAATAATTAAAAGCCAGGCAAAAGAAAATTATAGGAACGTCAGGAATGTTATAATTTAACGGAATTACTACAATCATCAGTCCCAAATGACACTGTTTAGGCTGGAAAAAGAATGTTTGATGAATATTCAGCTTGCATGATTTTAGAATACAGCTACTGTTTTTTCTCTTTGTTTTTATTGAATAACAAGTTTTATCTTTAAAACATTTCATGAAATTACTGATTCGTGGAGACCTCTTGCTGATGACCACATGAGGCTCCTGTTTTCCTGCTAATTACGTAAAAACATGTGTTTAATGCAAATACGTTTTAATAAAATATACGGAGAGTACCGCTTAAATTCCTGTCCCGATGTTGAAGGATGGCTATAGAATGTCAATGCATTTCCTACATAAGTCTATCCTTGTTCGGGAGGAGGTTTTCTGCGCTTGCTCGATCTGTAAGCACTTTGATTGGACAGTTCCAAATCATATGATATCTTTTGTTTTGGTTTTATTTATTTTAAGTTGAGGTTAAAGACGTTCTAATAATTGAATTAAAATCTTTCGAAAAATTGGAAGTTTTTTGTTAAATATTCTGAAATCAAATAAGTTTGATAATGTAACATTATGCGCATATTTATCAATTGAGATTGATAAATTTGATGATTGATTTTAATCGTATCCAACATGTTATGGCAAAACACTTTTTCAACCAAAAGTTTTCAGATATCTTCGATTTAGTTATTTTCGAATGTTTATTTTGTTTATATCTATTACAAACTCAAGGAGCAACAGTTTTTTACAAGTAGTGTTAATTTTGATGCTGGTGCAATACTTCTACTTGTTAAAATAAGTTTATTATAAATATTACAGACATTTAAAAAAAATAGGCTATGGAATAGGTATATAAAAATTATTTTATATCTGTCTCACAATGGGGGGCTCCTAGTAGCGTAATAGGTATCTGCAGTGCGATTCTGTAAACATTTCCCTGTCTAGTGACTCATCAATCGTATACAAATAGCATAGGCTCGATAGGAAATTTCTTGCTACAGAGCTTACAGAATCCCATTGCTGATTTCTAAAATTCTTTTTCTAGATAGGCTTCCCGCATCGTAAAAACTCCTATTTTATGGTATGTAATTAGTATTCTGAAGGTATTAAAATATTTTAATATCAATATAGTTTTTCACTGAAACTCGAGTTAAATCTTAATATACATTATTCATATTGTCGTTTTAGAGATTGTGCTTTTATACTTACTATTATGAAAATTTACTGAATAAAATATATAGTTGCAATCCTTTTTACTGAACTCCTTAATTTCTTGTTTTATGAGGGGATAATTTTTGCTTATTTAGGTACTAATTTTAATTAGGCCATTTTTAATGAACTCATTTATATTTATATCATATCGTTCTAAGTAGACTTTGTTGTGTTAGACAATTATTATTAAATAAAACGAATGAAAAAAAGTCACAGGTACAATATTTTTTTTAAATTCAAAAAATAATTTAGTAAAACCACAATTATTAAGAAATTGTCTTAAAAACTTCGTAGTACAAATTGCATATCTATTTCACTTTTTTTAAAATTCAAAAAATAATTTAGTAAAACCTCAATTAAGGAACTGTCTTAAAAACTTTGTAGTACAAATTGCATATCTATTTCACTCGACTTAAAAATTGCAGCAAAACAAAGTATAACAGTACATTTTTACTGTCTATTGTTTCTTTTACTGCCCATGGTATTTATGATCAATAATCAACATCAGTCCTGGTTTAAAATAAGTAATTCTTTATTATTAACATATTTTTTATTAAACAAATATAACGTACATATAAGTTTATACATAAATCAAGCTAGATACAAAAAATATAATTATTTACATTGTTGCATTGTAAATACTCTTTTATATTATGAAAAAAAACAATAATAATTTACAATAAGACAGTCTGTGTGTAACTGTGTAAGCATTATAATTAGCCTTATGTGGTCTCTATTTTTAGTCTTTACATTATAATGTCTTTTTTATTTTAAAATAGTAAGACTAAATATAATGCTTTTAACAATTATTGATTTTTGAATAAAATTAGTTTCGTATATTTTTGTCTTATATTAACATCCCTTTTATTTCTGATTTTGCTTTCATGAAACAAACGAACATCGAGAAAAATTTCTATTATTAATTTGGTTAGTTGGCTTCTACCACACAAAAAGCAGTAGCCCATTCGCATTGTTCTATTAATTAAACTACAGGAAAAGTCTTTAAAACTAAATCACAAAATTGTCAATAAACGCACAAAGATTAAAATACAAACGAAAACACAGTACACGTGGAAAACACAGAAAGTTAGAGAAAACACTAATGACACTAATGGCTACTGCCCAAGTCCAAACTGAAAACAAAATAGACGGTCTAAACAAAATCCACGCCGACGACGCGTCCAAAAATAAATCGATAACCCATCTCGACACCATTCGGCCAATAGAAAAGTAGCATTTCGGCGCATGTGCATTACATCCAGCTACTGAACAAGGATGGACTTATGTCAAACTCGATCTTCTGTCCTTCAATCCTGGGACATAAATTCTCTCATTGCTCTTATGGGGAGGCCGCGGTATATGTAAATTTAAATGTATTTGGTTTAATGTATTCCAGATATTATGCCTGGCGCATTCGCCATTTCGGTAAATAATACCCTTGTTTATAAGCATAATACTATCTTAATATGACAATTTTATAAACTAAACATTTATAACAGACAGTTTTACATTTATTTAATCATTACAAAGCTTATTAATATATCTTGATTAAGACACGATTTTCTAATGCTTTATAATAGTTATTATTTTACACAATTAACTTTAAATAAATGAGTTGGACTATATCGGTAAAATAAATTTAAATATCTATTTTTAGGTACGACTGAATGGTCCCAAAACCAATTACGATGCAGCCATGTTACAGTTTGAACAATTAATAAATAATAAGTATTTTATTTTAACGTTTATAGATATATTAGAAAACCAGAAGTCCTTTAATATTAGGAATAAGTAAGGAAACAATTTTATTTTGTACTAGAGCAATCAAAAAAACCATTTGTTTCAGGGTAAATGTAGCGTCACTATTAATGGTTGTTTTAATGGACAAAATGGAATATGCTACAGATATTTTAAAGTGTTTGTTACTGCGATTAATAGATAAGTCTGTAAATACGAAATATCCTCAGTTGATGTTAAGACGGACGGAGAGCGTAGTAGAAAAAATGTTAACTAATTGGATGGCCTTATGCATGTACCATTATTTAAAAGAGTACGCAGGTTCCTCGTTGTTTTTGTTATTCAAAGCCATTAAACATCAAATTGAAAAGGGTCTTGTCGACGCCATCACTCACGATGCGAGGTATTCTCTGTCAGAAGAAAGGCTGCTAAGAGAAAATGTCGAACACAGTACAGTGGTGAGTTATTTTCTTTTGTAAATATTATTTTCCGGTATTAAAGTAAATATTTTTACTATTTCAGACTCTTCATATCGTTCAGGACGATTTAGATGAAAAAATCCAATGCAAAGTGTTAGACTGTGATACTGTCAGTCAAGTCAAATCAAAAATCTTAGATGCTCTGTTCAAAAACACTCCGTTTTCGTTAAGGCCATCCATCCATGAAGTTGATTTAGGTAAGCTCCTTTTTTAAACATTTTTTAATAACCCTTATCTGAAGTTTTAATATTTCCGTCAGAGTGGAGGCATGGAAGGGGTGGTCATCTAACTCTCCAGGATGAAGACCTCACAACCAAAACTATCGGAGGCTGGAAGAAACTGAATACTTTGGCACATTACGGAGTGAAGGAGAGTGCTGTTATGTCGTTAATTTCGCGACAAAACGACAGTTTTAACAACTGTAAACAGCCGTGCCATACCTGTGTGTCTGGCATGTACTTAAACAACTCCCAGACACCTATTTTTGCTCATACCAACGGAGATGTCGAAGCACCAAATCATCCGAGGGTGTTTCATTTAATAAAACCTGTAGAAGACCACCAGTTTCCCAACAACAAAATTTTAGAACGGACTCACAAAGCCATACCGGAAATATTCCTCACCAGGCTTCTTTCAACCAAAGGCACTATCCAGAAATTCGTTGACGATTTCTTCATGACGATTTTAACTGTCAATGAAGCCCTACCGCCAGCTGTTAAGTGGTTGTTTGACCTGCTAGACGAGGCAGCGAGAAAATACGGAATTCAAGACCCTGAAGTAGTTTACGCGTGGAAATCAAACAGTCTTCCATTAAGGTTTTGGGTGAACTTTATCAAAAACCCCGATTTTATTTTTGACATCAACAAGACCAACACTTTGGACTCCTGTCTGTCAGTTATAGCTCAAACTTTTATGGACGCTTGTTCCACGACAGAGCATCGCCTTGGAAAGGATTCACCTTCAAACAAATTACTTTTTGCCAAGGTAAACAAACCTCTTAATACTTTTTTATCTTGGTTATTTTAAACTTTTTTTTTCCTAGGATATCCCGAGGTATAGAGATATGGTAGCTCAGTTTTATTCAGATGTAGCTATGCTGCCTGTTATAACCGACCAAGAAATGGGCTCTGCAATGCAACAACTGTCAGCTCAACAGGCTGAGGAATTCGACACTATGGCTGCTCTAAAAGAACTCTACATGTACGTCACGAAATATCGGGATCCTGTAAGTGTTTTTATTAATAATTTTTTAACCAAAAATATATATCTATTCAATTCTTTTTTTTTTCAGTTACTGGAAGCATTGTCAACAGATCCGGTTTGCTGGAGATTGAACCTGGCTCAGAAGCTGGATAGTGTAGCCTATACACTTGGAGGCGAGGAAACATCTGGCTGCTGACCACATGAGTCACCTGATCCGCTGCTGCCTCTACATTTGGCGCCCTGATAGCACTTTCGACACACACATGCTTTTGTTGACAGCGACAGTACTTTCTACTCTAGCGACTTAGTTATAGTCGTAGCAGTCCTTAACCATAAAACATTTAAACGCGTTTCGATTCTATAGTAGTTTAAGAAATCAGCGTTTATTTTAGATCAATTGATTATAGTTATATTTCACGCTCTACAGGGAAGCATATGTGACTTTTCTTTATAATTAGCTAATTTGTCTTTATTGAATAAAGTTTTTTTTAAAATACATTTAATGACATTACGGAAGCGAGGGGTGGTGACCACATGAGTCTCCTGTTCTCCTAAAGATTACCTTAAAAAAAATTGTGTTGTGTTTGGTACATTTTCCATATATTTGACCTGGCGCATTCGCCATTTCGGTAAATAAAAGTGATTAATATGAGGTACCTATTTTATAAATTAAACAAAAAAAAGTCACATAATGCTCTTGTCTTTCGAACGTCTTACAAAAATCTGAAACGCAGTTTTTTTATGTAGTCAATGACAAGCTCAGGTTTATCACAGATTTGTTTTAATCGTTCCAAATTTTTAAAGAAAGATAATAATAGTGTCGGTGTTAAGGGAAAATATAATTTTGTTTTATTTTAATTTGATTTGTACAGTAAAGGGTATAAGGTTTTTGTTTGCCCTATTCAGAAAAAATTTATAACATTATATGGGGTCTTATATTTTTAGCAAAGTATTAAATTAAAGCGCATGGTTATTTTTTGACGCTCTCTATATATTCCGTCCATTTTGCTTTACAGACAGTAAAGTGTTAGAATTCTCTTAAATAAGAATATATAACATCACTCACTTTCAATCATCAAATTTGTAAAACTTACCCTTTATCACGATCACCCAGATATTTTATTGCTATATAGTGTAAAAACGATGTCATTGACTGTATATACTTCAAATTTTGACTATATTAGATGTAATTATACCCTAAGCTGTACTTTGTTGTTTGTCATGCCTGTCTAAAAGGATATATGTATTTCAGGATACTGAGTCAAGTGAACCGAAACTAAACATAAGAACGTAGTAAAGCAAAGAACAAAACAGAAAATACAGTAAAATATTGCAGAATTATAAAAATAATATGTTTTACAGTCATTTTGCAGCTTCTAATATACAAGTTGCTTTCATCGAGGTTGTTCTTTGCTTGAGTACGTTTTACGTGAGGTTTGCTCGCTGGGCTCGGTGCAATTAGTAAACTCCCTCTGTTGACAAAAAATTGGCACGTGTGTGCGGTCGAGCGCGTGTTATTTTCTGTGATATGGCGCATGGTCAGGTGACTGTCTATTGGATGCGTACTTACCCTCCAGCGGTCACTAGTTTCCTTCCTGAGTGCCTCGCTATGCTGATGGGACGTGACTTGGACAGTGTTTTTTGCGCAACTAGAATGAAGTGTATGCCACTGATTATAATAGCGCACTTTTGTTCGGTCCGGTTAGCCTAGTTTTTAAGTAGATATTATAGACATTGATTCTATACTGGACGTCTGCTGGCACCACCCAAATACCCCCCATTCTGTCTTGGATCTTAATAGATATTTATTCCATACACTAATAGAAGTAATAGTTATTTCAGAAACTACTATTTTATTTTCAGAAATTTTTTATGTTTTATCACCATAAAGAGAGGAAAGCTTATTTGGGTAGTGAAAAATGACAACCAATATATACGTGTATCTGACTGATGTTTGAATTCACATTTAGTCGTACTTTTTTAATGTTATTTCGACAGTTTCTCCGCAGTATTAGCATCAAATGAGTGTCTAAATCACATGCAATTGCTGAATATATAACATAGTAAGGAAACTGTTGTGGAAAAATGTCAATTTCTATGTAAAAATATACTCTATCAAGTTATAAATATTTATGCATTTTTAGTTTAATTTCTGAATTGATTTTTATCATATTATTCTCTAAGTAATTGCATGTGAAACTATGCATTCAAAGAATATTTATATAAACAGGCGCTTTTTGTCACTACTGTAATTAAACAAAGTGGAATTCCTTAGTTTGTAATGCTGACATTCAAAAAAAAAGGGCTTCAATATTTCAAACGATTCAAACTGTTTTATTTTAAGGATATAGTGACTTGCATAGTAGTATCATAGAGTATGTTTAGGTAGATAGATTTAATGGGAATTACACTTTCTTAAAGTACAGTTTAAGCGTGTCAATTTCTATGTACATATTAGATGATCAGGCCTTCATGCTTTAAATAAAGAAAAAAACTTTTTAAATACTATTTATTAAAAGAAAGTTTATACTGTGAAGGCTTTGTCGTTATTATTTTTTAAAATTATTAGATAGGTCTCGGTCTGTCACCTGATTATGTAAGAAGAGGTTTGACACAAGGATTCTTTATGTTATCAACATATTTCTTTCTCGTCTCTCAAATTAAAAAATCTCTCAAACTTACATGATATTTGTTATCTGATCTTTGTTTTCTTTTGTAAATATATAAAATGTGCATATAGATTATTATAACGGATTTATAAAAGTGTTTATAAATTAAGCCTACATTCATCGATATTATCTAGATTGTGTTAGAAAAATTATTTTTAAAATTTACTCATGTACATGTAGTTGAGGCCTCGTTGCAATGCAGGTTTTACTTGATCTACAATCTCGTATATATTTTTTATTAACTATTTGCTGATAAACAGAGTTGTTCTAATCTAAAAAGCGTTCCAATGAGGCCGTCAAATTTTTATAATAAATATCGATGTCTCAACTTAAAATATTAAATAAATTTTAAAGAAAAAATAATTAGATAAAACACACAGACTGTAAAATCATTATAATTCGTTTTTTGGTTTTTATTTCACTTTCCTTAAGTAACTTAGCAGCTTTGACTTCTCTTTAATATTTTTCGTAATGTGATCGTGAATTAAAGCTTTTTATATAAAATGTATTGTTTAGTGATATTTTTTTACTCTATTAAACATGTATTCCAGATTTAAAAGTTTGTTTTATTCCAATTTCCCTCTCCTTATTATCTCTTAAAATACAAGACATTAAAAAAGAAGTCTATATACATTACATTGTAGTAGAATTGATTGATAGATAATACTCCTTAAAAAGTAAAAAGTGCGTTAATAATAGACGTAGTTCTGATTTTCATGAAAAAAAATATCATTTAGAAATGGAATTAACTAAACTATTCTTTATATGAAATGCGTCAAACATGTAAATTTTGATCAAGAAGTGAACAAAATTCAAAACATTGTACTTACCTTCAAACTTTTTAAAAATAAACAATCCTTTAATAAAAGAATTTAAATACTATTGTGCTGTCAAAAATAATTCCGACCTTCTTGACAAAATGGCGAAGGCGAGTTTTTTAAAAATACATTTTTTTAAAAAATAATTAATTTAAAATACATGACCAACGAGCTCGAAGAGTTAGATTTATCTTGAAAAACGTAAATAACTCAAAAACTAAGAAAAAAATGCCTACATTTTTTATGCCATTCGATAGAGAATTAAAAGCTCTATCTCTACGCAGTGTTTCAGCTCTATCAGAGATACTTTAATTTTTCGGGTACGAAAAAGGTAAGGCAACCCACTTTGCTAAATTTTGCCCGAAAAATTAAAGTATCTCTGATAGAGCTGAAACTCTGCATAGAGATAGAGCTTTTAATTCTCTATCAAATGACATAAAAAAATGTAGGTATTTTTTTCCTAGAAAAAAAGTTATTAAGGGTTAAAGTTTGTCAACGAGGTCGAATCGTTAGAGATAGCATATATTGCGGAAAAAAATCGCAGCAGTCAATTTCTAGCACTATTTATTATTACGGGCATCACATTAGACCATTTCAAAATAAATTTAGTTTACTATATGTACATTTTTACTATATAGAGTGGTCTTGAAATATTTAAGTTCCAAAATATGTTACCATTAGAAGAATAAAAATTAATATTAACAAACATAGTAATATTTTATATATAGATTGCTAAATTTATTTGACTATTATTTATTTTATTTTTGCTATGCAGAGTGGTCTTAAAATATTTAATTCCTATAATGTCTTATTATTAGAAAACCAATAATTATTCTTAACAAATGTGGTGTACGTGTACTGTTTTATATACTATGAGATTACTCAATTTGGAATTAAAATATTGATATTAAGGGAGGGATTAATCTCGGGGGGTAATGAAACAATAAATAATTAAAACGTAAATATTTATTTAGATTGATAATGATACAGGTGTAATCTTCAGAAAACATTTTACAACCTAAAATATAAAAATTAAATAAAAATAAGTAAATGATTATATAATAAATAAATAATCAATTAAATAATTAAATCGACCTCATATCCCTTTTATTCTGTGTCTTAACGTCTATCTATCACCTATGCATATCTGGGGATCTGGGGACATATGCGCGATAAGGTAGAATATACACATAATATATATTGATACGGTATATATTTAGTGATTTAAACGGCCTTTTGGGAATTTCAATAAAAACATGTGTTTTACTGGTTGCCTACAATTATTTTCTTGTGTAATAAATTAGTAAATATGGCTCTGGCCAACCGGTTAATAATTAAGGTAATGGAGCAAGGGGTCCCCAATGCCGAAAGTTGAGGCGGAGACTAAAATTCCTAGTTACAATAAAAAAAAAATGATTTTCAAATTTTATTGAGAGTAAGATGCTAAATAGTTAAATAACCATTTCTGAAACAAGGTACATAAAAATATATTTTATAAGTATGTAAATGTATAAGGAGTAATTTCAGCAATGTTAACAGATCAAAAATATCTAAATAGACAGTACATAACATTTTCAAAAGTAAATACAATACCAAGTGAAAATAATTCCAAGCACCGCACCGTTTACAACAATTTACAAAACAATAATATATAACAAATTTCTGCTTTCTTTCCGAAAAAAACTTAGAAAATAATGATGTAAAAAGAACAGTATCCTCAATAATTTGAGCATATTTTGTCTTGAAGTCTTTACTGCCAATTTAAAACATAAACAGTGTATATATATTTTAATAATTTACACTAATATAAAAAAACAATCTACAAAACACTTTGATACCTCGTCTAAATGCTCTATCGCACATCTAGGACATAAAATCAGTTTAAAAAGTGGAAAGCACAGATAAGCACCAACGCTTAGTATGTATTCTTAGCTCTTAACGTACTAACAAATTGTTGCAAAGTTTCAAACAGAAATAATTTTCACAATAACCTGCATTTAAATAAAACAACCACCCTATTATTACGTTGTTGAAAATAAAATAATAATCGAATAAAATGCAAAATTAGTGATATTTAAGATTGGAAAGACAAAAAATTTAGAAAAATAAGAATGTATAAAAATATACTCCTGAGCTTGATCAAGATAACATAAACATTAAAAAAATAGTGAAAATATGTTCTATTGAAAATGCGTATTAGTGTAAAGCTCTATACTGTACCTCTTTAATGTTTAACTTAGTTTTGAGCTACTCTAATTATCTAGAAACAATATTATTTTTTAAGAAAAGATCTAACAGAAAAGTATTTCTTTCCCATGAGCCTACTATTGACAATAAGCACAAGTTGTAGCAAAAATTTCGCAACTTATATAAAAAAATTACAGAATTTCTTCAGCATGGCCAATAACAAAACTGTGTATGCTGAAGAAATTCTAGAGAAACTTTAAAATATTCGTTGCCAACTTTTTGGCACACTGTGTCTTTAATCTATGTACAAAATTAAAAAGATATACAACAGTTCTGTAACTATTAATGAAAACATTCTGGAAAATCTATATTTTCTCTGTTTTTTTACCATATACCGATTAAAGCTAAAACTTTATTTAAAATAAAGAAATGTACTCAAAATTTCAAGAATTATTTATCTTTTTGTGTTTTTTTTAGAACATGTACGTGTATATCTGGGTTGCCTTAAAATTCATGACATTCTAGCCCGATTTATAGATTAAGAGCGCCTCAAAATTATTTTTCTACAGTGGAAATTAATTTCTTCACACTAATTTTGCTTTAAATTAAAACAGATAACAAAATAACTTCTTATATCACTGTTAACTGTATAACCTTTGCTTTTATTCTGGGAACAGTTTGATCTTAGGGCAAAATATATTTTTTAAACGCAAGCCTAGACAGAATGTTGTGAATAAAATATGTCTTGTATGTATACCATGTATAAGATGTCAAAACTATACATAGAATAAATCTCTGTCGCTATTATCTTTCAGTACTAAACAGCCTCAGTCCAACAATATTTATGGGTTTTTGCTTAAATGAATCGTAAACATAACTGATTCCAATTGTTGGGTTATCCACCGATAAATGTTACACATTTAAGAAGTATTATTAGTATGTGTTTCATGTTCGATATAACGAAAAACATTGAAAAATATACGAACGAAATTTTCAAAGTAAATCGGGTGAACATGAAACATTATCTCTAAAGACTAATCGAAGAAAAGCTCATAATCTGACCAATCGGACTCATCGGATTCGGTGAAAAATGATACTAAGTCTTCCAAGTCGTCCGCCAATGTCTGCCAAGGAAAATCGCGTTCGTCTAAGAAATCCCACAGCATTACCTAAAAGAAAATGGAGAAATAATTAATAAACGACTCATACTTAATTTAAATTGAACTAGAGAAAAGCCTAGGCTATATAACAAATTATTTTTGATTAATATATGCCCATAATTAAATGCAAATATTGATCTACAACTCGTTTGAGAAAATGGCGCATGCGCAGGAAAAGTCTACTGAACTGAGAAACTAATTTAAATATATTTATCCTTACACAAGTAATATATTTATAGATATAATTATATAGTCAAAAGAAAGCTCAATTTATAAAGAATGTTCCACCTGTTAGTTTAATTATAAGAAATTACCAACACCCCTTAATAAAAAAAAATAGACATAATTATAATGTGGACGCACACGAGAATTGATCTCTGAAGGGACAAATCGGTTAGTTGGTTGCAAATTCTCTCAAATTTTGAAGAGATTGAACCGCCGCACAGTGCTTCGTCCCATGGACAAAAATCGAAAAAAAAGTTAAAATTTACTAATATCTGAATATGTAATTTTATATTTATAGCAATGTTCAACCATCCTGTATATTATTTTTCATAAACAGCGTTTTTTGTTAACAAATATTTTCACTAAAAATAAATTTTGCGATCATTATCTTATATCAGTGAAAAGAATAACATTCATAGTAGTTCTGTATATGGAGTTAAACGTTACGTACTTAATTGAAAGTCACTATGGATATTGTTAAACAAGGTATGTACTTTAAATTTATTTCTAAACAAGTTCGTTATTGTTTAGTTTTTATTTATTTTTTAAAATGATTCTTAAATGGGTATAAAAATTTTACATTTTCAAACTTCAAAAAGGCATTAAAAAAAACATATCAAAACATATCGTATTTATTGAATATTTTTGTTGCCATATTCATACACTTTTAATTTTTGCATAGTTCACCTGCGTCTGCTTGCGACGAACTTTATTTTATAATAGTTTTCAGATGGAGTAAAATTGATAAGCAATACCGATCTGGTTAATACTTGGCTTGATCATAAGGACAAGAACTCAAAATTATTTATATTTCAAAAAATATGTTCTTTATTAGATATTGATGAACCTTCCAGTCCAATGAGATAACCACTTATGCCTGAGCCCACTATGTTGGAGCGAAACGTGGCATAAAAAATGTTCCCATCTTTCAATTTATTATAAAACCTCATACCCAAGAAAACGAAAAAATAATATATGGATATGGTCTATTAAAGAGGTAACTATTAACATCCGAACCCCTCATACCAACAAAAAGAACAGTAACAACGCGAAAAAGTAACATATTAGAAAATGATGTATAGAAATATCTTATATGTGAGGATATTTCATCTACCTGTGATTTGGATAGTATAAATTTGGAAGATTCTGTCAGCAATGATTCTTCTGAATCAGAGTAGTTACAATCTATGCATTTTGTTGTCCTAAAGTAAATTTATAGTATCTTAAGTTTTTTTTTAAATTAAACATACCATTAATGTTTCTTTTTCATTAAAGAAAATCATTTTTATCTTATATTAGGTTTATATTGTAGGAATCATGTTCTAATGTTATTCCAATTCTTTTTTATCACAGGAATTTATTTAATACTTACACCGTTTTCATACTATAAATTATTATTTCCTTAGATGGAACAGAGCTCCAACATTTTTATTATTTATAAGATGTTTTTTCATAAACGTGGGACTAAGAACATCATCATTTAGTACAATGAGAGTACTCATCATTTGTGTCAAATAAACCTAGTTTGAATAAATTGCCTACAATAAAAGAGAAGTTTTGCATTTTTGTCCTCTAGAGCCATATGTTCGAAGCACTGTGCGCCGCCGCGGGATAGATATTTTAAACTCTTATAAAATCTCGGCAGATTTTCAGTAAAAGACCCGGGATGGAGAAGGAAAATGTGACATTGATGGGTTTGTATTTCATAGAATTTGCGAATTATAATAAAAATATAAAAAATAAGAAATTTTAAAAATTATCTGCGAATGAGTACTTCAAATTTTTGTTAAAAAGTTTACAAACTCTTGATAAGCTTGCATCTATACGTTTTTGTTTAAGTAACTTTGATTTCTTATTTTCCATAAACAAGATCTTTCTTTGTCAATACATTTCAATTAATTCAGTTAAAGTTTCTTTTGTCCACAACACGAAATTAATGAAAAATATGAAAAACACGTAGGCAAAAGATCTCACCCCACAGCACTAACAGGCAGATATTTAAAATGATCTATCAAGTTAGTACAAAACCCTCAAAGGATATAACATTTAAGCGGCCTGTACCGTTGTAACGTGCGATTGATCCCCTCCTATTTGCTATTATTATATTACTAATACCTCTTAATAACTATGTAGCACTGAAAAATATCTTAAAAATTCTGCACAATACAAACCTGAAGCACATCTATATCAGTGTCTGCATATCGATTTCGCCTCTGTCGCTGGGGAGGCCCCACATCAATTATTCTTCCATCTTTATCAGCGTGCATATAAAAACACTTGTTTCCAAATGGACACTTGCCCAGGCCCTTCTTAAAGTACTTGCACGCTTTATTGGATAATGCTTTTTTATAATCATCAATTAGTTTTTCTTTTTCTTCCTTTGTATCTACCCAGTACATGCTGGGACATACAAAATCTGATGTTACCCTACATTCTGGACATGCCCTAAATATAATAAAATACTTAGACTAGACTTAGGTAAAATAGACGATCGAACAAATCAACAATACAACTAAACATTTATAGTAATAAAAACTATTAAATTATATATATACTGTACCTAATAATTTTGTTTTCAAACTGATGCGCCTGCCGCCATTTCCTGATGCAAGCTAAACAGAAACAATGGTTGCAATTTGGCAAAATACCAAATCTTTGTTCGCTATTCGCCTTTTCCATGATCACTTCAAAACAAACACCACAAGTTTTGTCTTTAGAGCGCTGAATTGCAAAGGACAGTTCCATATTCTTCTCATGATTCTTTAAACACTCCTAAAAAAGCATATTACTATACTTAAATAAACAATATTACCAAAAACTTTTTTTTTATTTTACTTCTAAATAATTTTTTGCTGAACTACAAAATATGGTTCCTCTCTTATTTATTTCTAAACTAAGAAAAAAGACCTGTATACACTTACTTGACGATGCTTTTTCCTTTCCTCTTCATCATAAGGATGCAATACAAATCTTTCACACATATCACAGAGTTCACCATGTAAATTATTACATTGACCTAAATTCAAGCATATCCCATCCCTGGATGCGTACGGGCACATTTTCCTAATAATATTACTATCCATATTTATTTCTGAATGAAGAACTTGGGCATAACTTTTTTGTGGTTTGGACCTAGGTATAAATTCTGGAGCATCCACCCAGTTTCTATTATTAATTATAACTAAAGGCGGCGAGGCACATGCCCCTTCTTCGCTATCTTGTTCATAAGAAGTTTTTGTATCTTGTGAGCTATTTGAAGAGCAAGATGGTTCTTCTTCTTCGACACTATGTATGTCTGTTTCTACACTGCTTAACTCCCTAGAGAAAAAATATAACAATAAATAATGAAGATAAAGAAATAAAGCTTACATATCAGAAGCTGCCTTGTTTTCACTGTTTGGCACTTGTGCAAAATTGACATCTTCTATATGGTTACACTGAGACGTAGAGGGTTCATTTGCACTAAAAATAATAATAACACCAGCAGCCTTTTAAAACAGATTTCGTAACCTTACCTCTTATTATCGTTGTCATGTAAAAATCGACATCGATCTTGGTATTTACACCTTCCCATCTGATAAAAATAACACGGTCTTTGGTTTTTCATTTCTAATAATTGACCCAGCACATAATCTTCGCCTTGTACAAAACCTACTGCTGTAATTTCGTGTTGGGGTTTATGAGGATACAGGCAATTCTTTCTGTTTGAGCAGGTATTAAGATTGTAGTACCTAAAAGTATAAACTATATTGATAAACTAGAAAAGGAATTAAGGTGAACTAAAAACGTGAATGATAGAAGCCTTATATAATGCTCTAAATAGGTGGAATAGAGAAATTTATGAAGATACACGTTACTTGAGTTGAACACTTACTCTAAACAAAATTTCTTACAAGTGCGAACCTCGGTTTCCGCCATATTGCGATTTTACATAAATAGCCTTAAATTTGAAGGATATCTTCAAGGAATATTAAAAACTTCTTAGTAAATAGGGGCCATCTTATTCCACTTTAAAATGACAATCTTGACAGATACACATATGAATTTCTCTTTTCCTTGCAACAATTAATGAATGTTCTTTGTGGTTTCATAAAATAATCAGAAATTTCAAAAAGAAAAATGTTTTTGACACAAAAACAGTCATGAACATGTCATGAAATTACAGATGATTTGCCAATTTGGAAATTCCACAGACTAAATACTAAATACGTTCCAGAAATTTAAATTTGTAATTGTATTACTGGTTGTATATATAAAATAATACTGCAATACAGAAAACTGTAATGATAAATGAATTTACAGCATCCAGCAGTTGCCCATAGATATTCTAAACGAGGGATTTCCCTAATATCTATCCCTGAGATGATAATTTTAAAACAGGAATAAATTACTTTATAATTTACATATTTACGTAATTTATACGAAATCTAATTATTGTTTTATACAGATATACAAATCTATTTAACAATCTTGTTTGAAAATTCTAAATGATTAAATAGAAGAATTTTCGCTTGAAATCTCTGAAGTAAATTAATTGTTACGCCTTATTGTAATTGATCTCACCTGGAAAATTCATCGCTAAGTTTGAGCTGTCGAAAAAGTTATGAGAGTTAAATCGAAAAATTATATGCCGTAGCAAATACATCGCCTACGCTCCGAACAAACTTTATTACTTGAAAATGTCGGAGGTCCTAAATTTTACAAGACCTGCAATACCCAGATATATCTTCAAAATTGAAACCTATTGATTCTTTTTTCAATTAAGGCTTAGAAAGGATTAAGCATTAAAATTGCTTTTATACTTTTTTTGATTCCACTCACCGATAGAAATTCTTAAAAATTCGTAGATATATACAAAAAAAAAAAAATAGCTGGTCTTATTTTTCACTACATTCTTTTCTGTGTTCCTTTCTTTAACACACACTATGCTTAAACCTCATTAATTAAAGGCATTAATCATGTTTTAACTGCCTATGCTTCAAAATCTATTACTACAATTAAGAAAACTAGGTATAGCTCTCCCGTATTTGCGTAGGCATTTTTCACCGTCTTAAATTTATTGGAATTTCAAGAATTCGGATTAAGAAAATTAATGTTTTTAGCTCAGATCCTGAGCGTAGGATTGAAGAAGATTATTGTTTGAAGGAAAAAAGTTTAAAATAGTGCATTTTAATGCGAAATCATATTAGTAATGCATATTACTATTTTGCATTGAAAAATATCTTAAAAATTCTGTCATCTCGCTAAACATTTTTTTTGAATATTATTATACAGTCAAAAGACAGCTCTTTTATGAGGAATTCAGTGATGTAATCAGATTTTTTAGTGTTCCACTTTCAGTTTATTTATAGAGTACGATTGAAGATTGGTTTGAAGGAAAAATGTTCAAAAGAGTGTATTTTATGCAAAATCACGTTCACGTTCTATGAATAATTATGAATGAAATTTAAAACTTATTACTAATACTTTTAAACTGTTTTAAATGATATTCAGCATTTGTACTGAACTAATTTATTACATTTACATGGATTATTAGATTTTTTCTCCAATGAAATAGTTTTAAAAACATACTTATGAAGTACCAAAATAATTAAAAATCCGTTATTGTAAGTTTACTTTGATCAAAAAGCATTTAGAGGCTTGAGTAAATAAACCCCTAGTTTAATATTCCGATTCAGTCTGTAGGTAAGACGGTATTTCAGGAACCGTAGTGTCTGGAATGAAGAATAGAACCGTCTGGGGGAAACAAAGAAAAAGCAATTATCGACGGGCAAAAATTGGATCTTTTGTGGAGAAAGGTTAAGATTCGTATGTTGTAATTAAAGCATCATCCGCAGATATATTGCCCTTTTCAAAATACCCTATCGAGATTGTGAGATGAATATATATATATATATATATATATATATATATATATATATATATATATATATATATATATATATATATATATATATATATTTAATAAAAAGCCCGAAAGGAAACATTTACAGTCGGTAGATGTGTTATTTTAAACCTGATTTTACCAGAATATAGCTATTAATATAGACTTATCTCCAACTTAATTGAAAAATACTATTACGAAGTTTATGTTTATTAATTTTCAAAAAAACAAGGGTATGAAAAATCGATTTTCTCATAAAATCAAAACATTTAAGTCATAACAAACTATACATTTTCTAAATCTACATAAAACTTCATACAAATACTGAAATGTTCAAAAGGTTACGTCCATATTTACCATTTTGCTAGGAGCTGAAAAAACATGTCCAAAATATTGGGTTTCAAAACAAGGTTTAAAAAAATAATTTTTTTTCACTAAACAGGGTGTTCCGAATTGTATACGGGAAACTTCGACAGCATTTTCTGCAGATAAAAATAACTAAAAAAGTTCGTATAAATGCTTCGTTTCGGAGATACAGGGTGTAGAAGTTTCGATATTTTACTTTGAAAATATAAAAAAAATGAATTTTCGCTTAAAGTTTAAGAACCACTGTATCTTTTCCGGAGTTTCTTTCTTGTAAATTTAATCTACTAAATATGTTGCCATATTAAGAAGATATTATGTTTTTTTAACTAAAAATTAAACACATTTCCAAATTTTCTTTTAAAAAAATTCAAAATTTTCGAAAAATTTTTTTCGCGAAAAAAACCTCAGACGTATTTCCGGTGTAGAAATATACCACCCATAAAAATATTTGCACTTATTTAAGACTCGCCCTATATATAAAATTTAATACAAACTCGAAGGAACAGATATATAGAAATTGAAAAAATATATATTTGAGCTAAGTGAAATTTAAGTTAAATTTTTTTCAGTGAAAAATAATTTTTTTAACACAAATCTGAAGGAGGCAAAAAAGTTAGCACAACTGAAACCGATCGTGTGGTTTTCTTAAAGGAAAACAAAATAGATTAACTCAATATTTCACCAAACAAAGCAAGACTTCGTAAAATATAACCATCTGCTTCGTATGGTATAATGGATTTAGGAACTGAACTGAAAAAGATAAAGCACAAAGTAGTAAGAAAAAAATATATATTCCTTGTAATTCTTTTTGGGCTTTCCGGCCTAAATATATTTTATTCAATTTCTTTCGCCATTTATTTTTATGTCTTATTTTGTACAATTTGTGGGTTACATCGTCAATTTGAAATTAATACAGTAATTAAGCTATCTCTTTCAATCAGTACGGTACTACCAAAAAAAAACTTAAATATTTAATTTTAAAGGCTTCAACCAACCTTTCGCAAATTAAGGGCGGTAAAAAGAAAAGTTGAAACATTATTTTGAAATGTAATTTGCGAGGCTGTAAGCTTAAAATAGATGTTTCGAAAATTCATACAATTCCAAAAATTATTCTCGCGAAAGTAAATTGTAATTAATACACGTAGATGTTTGTTTTCTCTCGTATTTCAGTTTTAATTTGAACCTTCGGTTTTGTTACGAAACCGCAGATTTTCGCAGAGGAAACAAGAGTATCCTACGCAAAAATTATTTTTCTACATAACATATAAATGTAAAATTAGAAGTATCTCAGGCGGTTTCGAAATGAAAGCTTACTCATACATTTTTTTCTAATATACGTTAAATTTATAAACGTTTTATACAACTCTGGAACAACATTTTGAAATTTGCGCTGTTTGACATGGGAAATATAGAGGAACCAATTTCAACTTTTCTCAACTAAAAGGAAGCAAAACTAGTTCACCCTTAACAATGTGGTGACTCCTACGTTTATTGACGATTAATTTCATATTCTCAAGTTTGCCCTAAACCATCTTCAGTCAAACCGCAGGCTGTCAATGACAGAAGACATTCGAAGTTGCTTAACAAAGTTGAGTATCTTGGGAAATATCACATTTCTTGGCGGAGATATAATCATGAGATTATATTCGTATTATTCTATTTACAGATAAAGACAAATTTAATAAATATCTCTATACCGGGTGCGTTTCAAAAGCGACTCACCCCTATAACTTTTTTATTTTTTTAGATAAAAAGACGAGATTTGGTATGTTAGTATATGACATAAATTAGGATTGAATGAATTATTCAATTTTTTTCGGTCACTTCTTGTTTCACCAGAAATGAATACAAATTTTGATTTTTAAATGGCACCCTCGGTATTTTTGAAAGGAAATGATACTCTGAATAGAATGACATATCGTACATGTCATCTTTTGACATTTTCGCATATGGTTAATTTGAAATTGTAACATGCGGTTCATAACGACAATTTGACTCGAAATACCAAGTGTGTGGTACCAGATTATTCGTAAAAAAATGCTATTTCCAAATATGCTAATGAGCCATCCTCATTCCATTTGAAAAAATTGAGATATGATTAAAAATACGATTTGGGCATCTTTTAACCGGCCAGGACAAGACACTAAAAACATTAGACGATCAAATCTATTTTTCCAAGGCTCTTGATTAAAGATTAGTGTTTTTAACACAGCCATGACACTCTAGAATGAAATTTAAAATACAATTTTTTTAAGCGAGAATGTCAAAAGTTGACATATGATATGTCATTTTATTCAGAGTGTCATTTTCTATCAAATAAAATAAAAAAATACCGACGGTGCCATTTAAAAGTCAAAACTTGTAGTCATTTCCGGTGAAACAGGAAGTGACCGAAAACAATTGAATACGCCAATCAATGCTAATTTCTGTCTACTAACATACCAAATCTCGTTTTTATCTGTAAAAAAAAGTTATAGGGGTGAGCCACTTTTGAGACGCACCCGGTATAAAATCAACAACGTGAATTCATGCGAAGAGATTTGTTCGAATAAAGCGATAGTTTTACGTATGCTTAATAGTTTATTAACATAATAGAGATTCTCTGATTATAATATAGAGAATCAGAATGCAGAATCAAAATGAAATTTCATTGTGATCGAGATTTGAGATTTGGCAGAAGGCACTAATATAGGGGAGAATAGAATGGAAAGAAGACAAAACGGGAGCGTTGTGCCTGTTGGTATTGAGCGACTAGCTGTTGCATTTTCATTCACAAACTTCAGTCGGTTGGGGGGTTTGTTCTAAAACAGGACCGTACTCGATCAATGGAGAGAACTCTCCCCCCAAAATTGTTACTTAATCGATAATCAATGCATCCGCCTTATCGCCACACTCTCGTGCCTCCATTCTT